AATGGTGCATTCAATATAATAAAGGGTCGGTTTTCATGTTAAATGGTCACTGCTACCTTTTACAAGGTGAAATATACAAAAAGGGTGAAGATGTGTCAAATTGTATAGCTAATTTTACATAGTTTCAAAAGAAAAAAAGCAAACAATAAAAATAGAAAAAATAAACAAGCAAACAACCCCCATCCCCATCACATCTCAGAATTAGTCAATTTAATCTGAAACAATAAACTATCAAGATATCTATGTAAGTCTGTGGTACGAGGGGGAAAGCGCGCCGATTTGATTTTTTCATTCCAATGCCCCCCCCCCCCCCCCCACCACTTTTTGTTGCAGCTTGGTTGAAGTAAAGTTTGTCCGACTTTAAAGTCTCATGAGAGGTGTGCCCCCCCCCCCCCCGGAAATAGTTTTTTCCCATTTGAAAAACGGTTTTGTGGTTTTCTTTTTTTTTCTTGTCAAGAGATGTCAGGAATGAATGTTTCTTTTACTGGGGTGGACCCCTCCCCTGGAAAAAAAATTCCTGGACTGCATCCGAGCCTAACACTTAGCTCTCCCTCCCCTACCATTAGCCGTTTTTTTTTTTTTTTGGCAATCGTACTTGATAGTGATACACATTTAAAAATACGAGACATTTTTGTTCCATCAGCCAGTTCTACAAAGGATAAGTTCGTCCCATTTTCTTTGCAAAATTTCACCCGGATTACTCATTCTTAATATCTTTCTTCTTTTTTTTTTATCTTTAAATAAGAATACTAAAGGAGAACTGTGTCATTGAAATCCCTCTCTAACACCAGTTAATTAATTTATCATAGCTAAAATTTAATGTGCATTATTTGAAACCATGTAAAATTAGCTGAACAATGCATGAAAATTTTTAATGTGTTATTTAACTTATTTTAAATATTTATTATGTGCCTTTTATCCTATTACAAGTAGCAGTAACCATTTAACATGGTAAACCAACCATTTACTTTGTAGAACACACCATTTATCTACCATTGACTCTAAAACAAGTAGCGGTGACCATTTAACATATTAAACCGACCCGTTATTATATCGAATGCACCATTTAATTTGTATACTTCACCCCATAACAAGTAGCGGCGACCATTTAACATAGTGAACAGATCCTTTATTATATCGAATGCACCATTTATACACCTATCACCCGATAACAAGGAGTGGTGACCATATAACACATTAAACCGACCCCTTATTATATTAAACATACCATTTATGATGTATCTTTCACTGTATAACAAGGAGTGGTGACCATTTAACATAAAGAACCGACCTTTTTATTATATTGAACACACCATGTATTATGTGCGCTTCACCCTTTAACAAGGAGTGATGACCCTTTATTATATTGATTCAACCCTTTATTATATGGAACACACCATGTAACATTATGTACCATACCTTAAGGCAGCTATGGCGTTCCATACTATGTAATTTTCTAAATTCTATTAAATTACGAATTTTAATTTTTTTTTAATTGAAGTGTTGTTTATTTTGGCCATAGCAACTATAAATAAACATATAAAATAATTTTTTTGAGTTTTAACACTTTCCAATTCTGAGTATTAGAGATGTCAATCGTTGCGGCGTATATAGTATACATGTAAATCTTAAATTAATAAAACAGAATTATAGGACCCACCTTAAATAAATCTGTTATTATAAACTCTTTCAACCGTGTCATTTCTTCAGGTAGATTATTTTTTAAAATATATAGTAACTCTCTATTTCTTTAACTGTTTAATTTATTTTATTATTGAAATCAGAGAAAAAGTTTTAGTTTCTAAAGATTATATGATTTTATCTTTGTTCTTGGTTATTTAATTTTTATTAGACAAAGTTTTATAAAATTCTTCAATATTGAATACCAGTATTTTGTCCGTATTGGAGGAAAATCCATTTATTTATACGGAAATTTTTAGCGTATAAAGAAAGCGTCCTTTAAACTGCTTTTAAACTTCTCTATGTACAGTTTCCACAATGAAGGCCCTCTGTTTATCCGTGATCTGCCTCATCGCAGGTGTGCATGGTAGGTTTTTTTCTGAATTGAGGTAAAAATTTGTATCATGTAAAAATACGGTACATGTACCTTATTTTTTTATGTCCCGAATCTATTGGTGTTGATTTATGTAATTTTGACAGTTTTTTTTTTATTATTTTATTTCTTTTATAAGATTTTTTTGCAATATATTGCAAAATATTTTTCAAAGTACATTGTATTTATTTGTAGATTCAGCAGTGTTAATTTATGAAAACTTTTTAAAAAACTAATTTTTGGGGCGTGTTACATACCTTTGTCATTTGTAGCTACAGATCTGTAGCGTTATGGTTTTATATATTTGTCATTGACCATAACGCTACAGATATCGTAATGCAAAAAAAAGTGCAATTTGCGGCGCAATATTTTTTGCACAATTTTGGAGAGAATTTCTCCACTTTCTAACATTGGACAATCAACTACCTTTCACTCCCTATTTCTAGACACATTCTGTAGCCAATATGTATATTTTATCCACCTCTCAGCCATTTATTTTTGTCTCTACAGGCAATAAACTCGCTTTTAGTAAATTTTCAGCAATCTAACAAATAATTTTAATCAAACGAGTTTATCACTTGTATAGACGACTGTAAAGGGCTGGGAGATGGATAAAATATACAGATTTAGTTAAATAATGTGCCTAAAATTAGGGAGTGAAAGGTAGTTGGTTGACCGATGCTGGAAAGCGGAGAAATTCTCCCCAAAAGTGCGCAAAAATATTGCGCCGCTAATTGCATCTTTTTTGCATTACGGGATCCGTAGCGTTATGGTCAAAGACAAATATATAAAACCATAACGCTACAGATCTGCAGCTATGTCATTTACTAATTATTGAATTAGAAATCCATATACATTTGTAATGAGTCCACGACAATTGTGTCAAATACAAATCTAATTGAAAAAAAAATTTTAAAATAAAAATAAAATATTGAATAAAATACATTTGTTTATATTTTTGAATATATAGATAAAATATTTAAGAGGGATGTGCTAGACAATTATATTTGAAAAAGGTATTGAATAAATCATAATCTTAGTTGATCCTTCCTACAGACATGTCTAAAACAGTCTTTCAGAAATCTTTTAACTCAGTTTGAAATGAGCAATGAGTTTTGGTTTTTTTTTTTAAATGAATTTTTACCTATCATAAATCAATAGAAGCATAAAAGATATCGAATAAATCAACGTTTTACACGCCTCAAAAGATAGCACCCCCCCCCCATTTTCATATTCATAATTTTTACCACTACTGGTCAGAGACCATAAAAGCTTATGCGATAGTAATGCGACTGTCGCCCGTCCGTCTGTCTGTCTAGCTGTCCGTCTGTCTGTCTGTCTGTCTGTCTAGCTGTCCGTCTGTCTGTCTGTAAACAATTTTTCAAAATTGCTACTCCTCCTACAGTTCTGATTTCAATCTAACTTGGCACACAAGTAGACTACACTGAGATACATAATTCTGTATATCGGTTTTGGATTTCGATGAAGATGTTGCCGTGGTTATTAAAAATAGAAATTTATGTGAAAAACATTCAAAATGCTACTCCTCCTACAGTTTTGGTCTGATTTCAATATAACTTGGCACACAAGTAGAATACACTAAGATATATTATTCGGTTTTGGATTTCGATGAACGGTATTGCCATGGTTACTAAAAATAGAAATTTATGTGAAAAACATTCAAAATGATACTCCTACAGTTTTGGTCTCAAAATAACTTGGCACACAAGTAGACTACACTAAAATACAAACTAGTATCGGTTTTTGATTTCAATGAACGGTTTTGTATGGAATCCGGATAGGGCCACGCACTTCACTGTCGCACCATCGAGCATCAACTTAAAGGTCGATGGCGCGATAATGCGATGGCGCGATAACGATGAAACGGTGGTGCGATAACGATGAAGCGATGATGCGATAGCGCGATGACGATGATGCTATGGCGCGATAATGCGATGGCGATGGTGCGATAGCACGATTGAGCGATAGTGAATATCGCTTCATCGTCATCGTACTATCGCACCATCGTCATCGCATCATCGTGTCATCACCATCGCACCATCGCGTCATCGTACCATCGCGTCATCGCATTATCGCACCATCGTCATCGCATTGTCGCGCCATAGCATCATCGTCATCGCGCTATCGCACCATCACTTCATCGCTATCGCACCATCGCCTCATCGTCATCGCATTATCTCTTCATCGCACTATCGACCTAAACCTCGATGGTGCGATGATGCGATAGTGAACTGCATGGCCCTATCCGGATTCCATAGTTTTGCCTTTACTAAAAATAGAAATTTCTGTGAAATACCGTATATACTCGCCTATATGTCGGTCTTTTTGAAGTTAAAAAATACAACCGACTTATATATAGGCGAGTATATTCGGTACTTTCAAAATGCTGCTCCAAATACAGTTTAAGTCTGATTATAATAAAATGTGGCATGCAAGTAGACTACACTGAGATACATAAAATCACTTTGATGATTTTGATGATTGATGTTGCCATAGCAATTTAAATTGAAAATTCTGTAAAATTTTAATAAAAGCTGCTCCTACAGTTGTAGTCTTATTTCAATCTTGCCACAAAGAGACTTAATCAAGGATCATTATTCTGTGTATTGCTTTTGTAAAGTTTAAAGTCCTAACTGCTACTCTTCTCTTCCTTTATTATAAGTACAAACCAGTAGAGCTACACTCTCGACAGAGACTTCTTGTTCAAGACTGCATTAATTACAGGAATAGTAATCATTTGACTGCATTGTTGCACTTATCAGACAAATTTCTGATACTGCCAAATAATAGAAGATACGTGGTACTATCTTTAGCTATTAAACCAAAATGTTCATTGATTCTTCAGAGAAAGTTTTATCTTGTATACTATAATTCCACAAACAAGCAAGTGTATTTTATTAAATTAATTATTTTGTTTGTAGGCGAGAGTCATTTCACCATTTTCGCTAGTCTTGCAGTTATGATAATTTTGTTTGTAATGGCTATGATTTATATGCACAAAAGATCAAGCTTCATCTGCGTTGAAAAAGGTAATAGAATATTAATATGAAAAACACTAAATAATTTCTAGTAAACTAAATGTTTTAAAAACTGATGAATAGTTTATGTCAATCGTATACCTTTTAGTCTTCATTTATTTGTAGAAATTACCAGTAATGTATTTTCAATTTAAAAAAAAAATTTCCCCTTTTTTAAAAACTAACTTATCTCTTAACTCCTGGTCATCTAGGAGACACATTATGCAGCAAGAGAGTAAACAAAAATTCTAAGGACAATACATTCCAAGACAAAAGTCCAGCTTCTGATGGAGACAGCAGTCATGGAGAAAGCATCGACAAAAAGATCCGTCGGTGGTCATATCCATTGGAAGGAAAGAGAGAGAAGGGCTACTCAATACGTAGGGCTCTTGTTCTTATTCATCATTCTATTCATTATTCTAGATATGTGAAATATATTGATGCCACTGTAATTCCTTAGAATTACCGAAAGATATCCATTGTGGTTATAAAACCTTTGTGTAAGTTCAACTTTTAAATAGTACTAGTTTTTATGCAAATATAAATCATTTATAAATTTGAAAAGACATATTATGAGTTGTTTTGTTATCTACAGAAATTCTCAAAGCTTTGGAAAGTGTAAAGAAGAATTTGCCAATTACTCCAAGGGATGTTACAACCACATGTAACGGTAACCCTGTGGTGTTGACAATTTAAAAACTGATTGAAAAAAAAATAAAGATGAAATTTAAAGTAATCTAATGCTTAATAAATTTAAATTGCAGATGGTGCAAAAGAGTTGACTGAAAAAGACCTTTGGAAGGCTTCAAAGTACCTGGTACCCAAGAAACTTTACATCAGTGTCGTTAGGGAACTCGGACTTCTTGAAATAGACATACAGGTGATACACATAGACTACAAGAGAGAATCTGTACAAGAAATAGCTTACCAGACCCTACTGCAGTTAAAAAAGAAGAATGGATGCATAATGAAAGACACTTTTAAGAATGCTATTACACAATATGATCAAGAAGCTTGGAATAACATTATACAAAGTTGTCAGTAAAGCAGACAGAGGTGACATGTACAATGAAATTTTATGGGTTTTTTTTACTCTAATAGAGATATATACATGTACATATATACACTTTGAAACTTCTGTCAAATTAGATGATATATTTAGTTGCAGTCTTTATAATGCTTATTTTATTTTAGGCACCATATATGATAAACTTTATTTGTCACACCTTTCTATAAACTGCTTTTATAGTATTTATAAAATGAATGAGCTTATAAGTAAAGGTGCAATACCAGAGCTGTCATATCTAGTAATTTTTCTAACCTATATATCTTTGATTTCCAGATCTTTTATTGATAATAAATTCCATGACTATCGGTAAATGGTTGCATTGCATGTCTACAAATTTTTCCTTCTTGTAAAACTAAATATAAAGCACCGTTTCATAAATATGTTTGGTTTTCTGTGGTATTTAATAATACCCGGTGATTTCCCTTTTTTTTCTCAAAAAGAATGTCAAATATAAAATTGTTGAATAATATAAAAATTAATATGCTTTGAATGAAAAGAAATATGTTTAACATATTTAAGAAATAAAGTCCGCGTTTTCGTGAATGTTGCAGAATAACCTCCGAGGTCGAGAAATGTTGTTTGAAAGATAAAAGCCGAGGCGCGACCGAGGAGGTTATTCTGCATCATTCACGACAACAAGGACTTTATTTCTATTCTACCATGTATGGTACAAACGAAAAATTAAGGATAATTGTTTCCTCTATAGAGAAACGAATTAGGTTACCATGTCTCGATTACGCTATTTCATTTAACACCAGAGGTGTTTGCTTACCTGTGTACAGAATGCAGATGATTTGAGCTTTCGTTACATTAAAAATAGCCTTCTAAAATTACAAATATGTTCGTTATATGTATTGATCAGTTAAAATGAATATACAATAACAAAATCATGTTCCTGTTTTACTGCTAAAATCACGTCGTTTAATGTGTAGGGAGGTCCGTGGAAACAAGTATTTTATTCTACAGCCAAACATTCTACAGCCAAACATGCATTTGAATTGTTAAGATTTGATACCTGTTTCTGATCTGATAATTTTTTGATTACGTCCGTGATTTATTGGAGAATAATGTCCGGCGGTTTCCTTTGATGTTTACAATAATCGTGGTAGAATTCCATATAATGTATATAGTTCATATCTTTTAGCTGATTTTTTTTTTAATAAAAATAGTCTTATTAGTCTTGTTTACATTTAAGTTAATTAACATCCTAGTATGCTATTGTCACAATTTTCTTAATTTCTATCATTTATTTAATAATTTTAATGGGATAAGGTTACAATGTGTAATCACATGCCAGTGATCTAAAAGATGTCCCATATAGCCTAGTGTTGTATCATAAGCGCTGTGTGATGTATATAAATATAGTCTATGCATGGTTTTGCAAAATAATGAATTGCTAGATAATTAATTTTATTAAAAGATTACTGAGAAATTAATGGCAATTTTCAAAAATCTTCTCAAGAACCACAGGGCCAGGAAAGATGAAACTTATGTGGAAACATCCTCAGGTAGTGTAGATTCAAGTTTGTTCAAATCATGACTGACCCCCGGGGGTAGGGCGGGGCCACAATGGACGATCAAAGTTTTAGCATGATTGGTCATATTTAAATAGAAGCATCCTCAGGTAGTGTAGATTCAAGTTTGTTCAAATAATTACCCCGGGGGTAGGACGGGGTTACAATCGTGAATAGACGATCAAAGTTTTACATAGGAATATATATATAGGAATTTTTAAATAAAATCTGCTTCTTGAGAACAGAAAAGCCATGATTGGTCATATTTATATGCATTGATTGATTGTATACTGTTTAACGTCCCTCTCCAGAATATTTCACTGATATGGAGACGTCGCCATTGCCGGTGAAGGGCTGCAAATTTTGGCCTATGCTCGGCACTTACGGCCTTTGAGCAGGGAAGCTTAAGGATCTTTATCGTGCCACACCTGCTGTGACACGGGGCCTCGGTTTATACGGTCTCATCCGAAGGACCGCCCTATTAAGTCGCCTTTTACGAAGCAAGGGGTATTAAGGACCTATTCTAACCCGGATCCCCAAGGGGTTATTTATATGGAAGCATACTCCAGAAGTGTAGATTCAAGTTTGTTCAAATCATGACCCCAAAGGGTAGAGCGGGGCCACAATTGACGATCAAAGTTTTACATAGGAATATATAGGAAAAATGTTTTAAAATCTTCTTCTTCTTAAGAACAGCATAGCCATGATTGGTCATATTTATATGGAAGCATCCTCATGTAGTGTAGATTCAAGATTGTTCAAATCATGACCCCGGGGTAGGGGGGCCACAATAGCCGATCAAAGTTTTGCATATGAGTATATAGGAAAAATCTTCTCAAGAACATGATTGGTCTTGTTTATATGGAAGCATCCTCCGGTAGTTTAGGTACAGATTTGTTAAAATCTTGACCCCAAAGGTTGGATGGGACCACAATAAAAATTCAAACGTACAGGGGAAAAAGCCACAGCTAGTCAAAAAAATATGTATAAGCATCCTTAGTTAGTGTAGATTCAAGCTTGCATAGATACAAGTTTGTTCATATCATACCCCCCCCCCTTTTAGGATTGGGACCACTTAAACATTTACTGAATTGATTTTTTCCTAGCCACAGTGCTCAGGTGAGCGATGTGGCCCATGGCCTCTTGTTTAAAAATCCAAATGGGTTATACATGTATTCAATACTATTTTATTTAAAAATTTGCATTCTCAGCAATATATATGACTGACAGATCAAATCTGTGACATTTAATTAACATAAAATACTTTCACTATTGGTTAAAGGGGTGCCATATTAATTCAGTTGTGCCATATGCAGGCACGTAGTATCAGGGGGGGGCAGGGGGGGCCAGGGGGGGCCAGGGGGGGCCTGGCCCCCCCACTTTTTCTCCCGACATTACCTTTACTATAGAAAATGTTTACTGAAAGGAAGGTTGCCCCCCCCCACATTTCAGCACACAGTGTAGTGGTATAAAGAAAATTTACCCCAAAAAGTTTGAATTTAAAATTTAGTTGGTCTTGAAAAAAGAAGTTGGCCACTACCCCCCCCCCCTCCCCCCCCCCCCCCCCCCCCCCCACCACGAAAGAGGATTTTCGACTTTGGGCAAAATTTAATTTTTGGTTTTTTTTTTTTTTTTTTTTTTTTTTTTGCTTGTCAACTTTTTCAGGTAAGTAAAAAAAAAAATTTCTCAGGTTGGCCCCCCCCACTTTCAAAAACGATGCTACGTGCCTGATATGTAGGAGATTTAATTCATTCCTGTTTTTATATACATGCACTAGCTGTTTCAATAATATTATTATACATGTATATGGTGTTGAATTAAAATTTAATTGTTTGAATTATATAACTGTTAGAAGAAATAAAATTTTGTAATAAATATCTGTTGTTTTTTTTACTTAGTAAATTAACTGTTTAATTTGGCATATAAACATTAAAACTTTTTGTTAAATTTTCTATTATATATTCAACAATCACTGCTGTGTATGGTAGGTGGTCGATTGATCAAATTTGGTCATTGCTTGCATAATTTCAGTGTTGTCATGAATGGACTTTTCACATTTTCGCCTCCTTCCCCAGAAAGTTCCACTGATCTATTTTAACTTGGCATAAAATAGTAGTAGTTCCTAAATTAAAGGGAATACATTCTTTAACTGATGAAGCAGTACCCCTTCAAAAGGGAGATAATTTAGAAATAGTGAAAATCGATTTCCAAGAATGACTGGGCCAGAAAAAAAGAAACATGTGAAAACTTCCCGAAATAGTGTAGAATCAATTTTATTTATTATGACCCTCAAAGGGTGGGAGGATGGGGTCACTGGGGAGCTCAAAAAGTCAAATATGGGGATTTATTTAAAAAATCTTCTCAAGAACAGCAAAGTCAAGATCAGTCATATTTTTAAGTGAGCATCCACGTATAGTGTAAACTGGAGTATGGCCATATAATGCCTCCCGTAGGGAGAGTACTTTTGGCCACGATATATCAAAAAAAAGTTTTACACTTGAGATTCAAAATTCCCGCCATTGAAAATGAACCACCTTGACAACGGATGCGTAGGGAACTATTTTTATTCTATTGTAAAACCCTTGCTATATTTATTTATTCAAAAGAAAGATTAAATTTGGAAAAATAATTGCTTTTTAAATCCATATTTCAAGAGAACAATTAACGCTCTTACTCGTCGAAGAATAACAAGATGCATGTTCCTATTCGCGCATTCATTTCCGTTTTTGACATCTTCGGTGTAAACAAATGGCTGACTATCGAACGTAATGGCTGAACTTAAGTACGATTTGGCTTTGGTTAATACTGCATCTGGGACAAAGATAAGAGAAAAACCTTGGTAATATTTTGTATTATACTTTATACTAATGCTTTGCAACGTAGGTTCAGATGATGTTTGTGTGAATAATATACTTTAATTATAGACATTTGAATGGATCAAAATTGTGACTGCAGTCTTGTTAAATTTATGTAGCCATATGACTAATAAGCTAGGTAATTTTATTTAAATAGTTCATGTTAAATTACTATGGAAATTATATATTTTCAGGATTTATAGACTGCTCAGTTTTTTGTATCATAACAACTATGCGCTACAATTTTTAGTACTCACTTGATTCTTTGTGTGTTTTATGAATCTGAAATGAAATAGTTAACAGTTGCAAAATTTTATTATGCAGGTACAAAGAGAGATTACATACAAAATATATAAAATCACTCAAACCAGAAGACACATCAAAAGCATTACTGGGGAAAGACTGGCTTTTCTTAAAGGATGGTTTAGATGACTTTAGAGATGGCCTCCCACCACCAGTCAAAGGAGATATATTAATAAAAGTTAGTGATAAATAATACCGTATTTAAAAAAAAAACAACAGATAGTGTTGCACATATTTCACAGTAGATCATAATTTTGTGGATCTAATTTGGTTCAATCTGCGGATGGAGTCTAGAGCTCTTGCACAAACCAGGTCTGGTACAATCACTAGATTTAGCTATGTAGCTTGATTTACCTACTTAGCTTTATCTACCTACCTGAGGTAGCTTTATTTAGCTACCAAATCAATTAATTTCTATGAAAAAGCATTTTTCTCAGGATGTGCAGAAAATATCATTTTGATGCAGTGATCATTTTCAACTTTGAACTTATCTGAAAAACAATTCATGAAAAAAAAATCCCTCTGAAGAAATGTCTTTTTCTGTGCATTTGCAATCAAAGTTCTGAAAGTTTGGGGGCTATGTATGACAGAACATACTCAGCCATGCCTCACAGCACACATGAGAGAAGACAGTTAATCAAACAATGGAATTACATGTTTTGCTCTAAATTGTCCAAAGGCAGCAATGTATAAACTATCTCTGCTTTGGATTGTTTTTTTAAACCTCCCTAGTATAAATATTAATTGTCATTTACTTGTGATTTTTTGCCTCTTTTTAATAAAAAGAAAAATTTTGAAAAGTTACATTAAAAAAGGTAAATAAAGCTACCTGAGGTAGGTAAATAAAGCTACGTAGGTAATTCTACCTACGTAGCTAAATCTAGTGATTGTACTGGACCTTCAAACATCTTGGTTGTTGCTTGTCTTACAACAATGAGTATGCAGTAACTGTGACATAATTGCATCTTAACTTTGTGAAAGTACATTTCCATGGGAATACTAGTGTTGGAAGTCCCAACCCCCTCTTCTTTATGTATTTTAGTCTTGTTATATTGAATAATCGGTTATCTTGAAGTTTTTTGTTGATCCCATCTAATTCTAACAATGTTTGATTTTATCATTATTTTATCATTTTACCCTATAAAAGAGATGGGGTTTCAAAAATGAATCATAAATCTTGTTCGGAAATGAAGTCTAAAGTGTCTTCCTTTGAAAAGATTGAATGTTGTTTAGTTTGAAAATGTACATATTTTAAGCCATAATTTCTGCATGCTTATTTCATATATCATTTTCAGGGTCATAAAGGACCAGGGCCTAATCTAAAAGGCAGTAGTGAAAATATTAGTCCAGTTAAGCAGCCTGCTGTGAAGAACCGCTTCAGCAAACATCAAATATGTTACTCTCGGTCAACACCCCTTCAGCAAAGCAGAAGAGACCACATAGATGAAATAGAGTATAGTCTTGTACTGCACCCCTTGGCTCTCTACCCTCATTTGGAGGAGAGTGTCCCTCCAGAGGTAAATAAAAGACTTTGATTAGGCCATAACAAATAAATTGCTAGATTCTCATCCGATTTTTTTAAAAAATCGAGGCGGGCAGGCGGCTTTTATTTTATATTTTTTATTTTTTCAGTTTTGCAGATTTTTTATTGACCTGGTCAATTCAAAGTGTAATTTTTTTATCTACAATACTCGACATAAAAGGCATAGTATAGGTTCAATTATCTCTTCTCATCATCACCAATCTTTTTCAACCAATGGCCCTTGTTTAAAATATATACGCATGTATTACAGCAATTACCATCTTTTCAGCTGTCAAAATCATGTCGACTTTCGGGGATTTAAAACGAAAGTAGAATGGTAGAAAAAATTTCCCTTCAACAAACGCAATTAAGACGAAGAAAACAGAAATAAAAAAAATCGAGGCGGGGGTATAAAATCGGGGTGGGCGAGGATGAGAATCTAGGAATATTTTTATTGTGGCCTTATCTTACACCAGTACTTAGATCTGTGTGTAATATTACCCATGCACATAGATTTTGGATAAATTGATACTTTGAAAAAATTGATCAACCCTAAAGATTGCTCAACAATGAATAAAAAATGCTTTACAGGTCTAAACAATTAGATATGGTTTTGTGATTTTATATCGACCAGTATTTTAGTTTGGTTTTAATTGTAAATTACTCCAGTAATTCAAATAAGCATTTTCAGTGAATTTAATATTGATTGATTGTTGGAACTAGGAAATTTAGAACAAGAAACATACTCATTAATTAAAACATTTTATTATGATAGTTAATTTGAACTTTGATTCCTCATTTGTAGCTATTTGAGGACATTGTTGATATACTTGATCCGGAGATGAACCTTGATCCAGATGAAGATTTCTCGGATCAGCTGGATGAGGAGGAAGATGAAGAGGAGGAAGATGGTGAAGTTCAAAGGTCACCAAAGGAGAAAGAGGAGGATGTACTCAAATCAGAAGGAGGCCACAGCCAGGAGTAAGATTCTTATCTCTTCATAAATATCTTTATTTTAATTTTAGCCTAGTTCTTCTCCCTAGTTTTTAGCAAGGGGTTTCTTTATCCATCATTTATCAGTCTACATTTGTGTTTAGGGATGGAAAAAGTTTTCAATAGTGTAAAAAAGAAAAGCAATTTTTTTCTTATTCATTTTTGTGTTGGATTATTATTTTTTGTCTTTATCCACAGCTCTGATGAACCAAGGATAAGGAATCCCTACAGATGGCTCCCAAGAAGAGATGAAAAAGACAAAAAAGATAAAAAGAAGAGTGATAAAAGTGCCTCATCAGAGTCTCAGGTAATGGGTAATTTCAGTCTTGACGTAATCTCCATACAAGACAAGGATTCTCTTTGTATGCTCTGTTATTGTAAAAAATAATAATCATATGACTTAAAAATGCACATGTTACACAAATAAAATTCAATATTTCAAAGAAATTTGCACTGCTAGAGAACAATTATAATTCATTAGTGGTTTAAGTTCTTAGTTTCACTTTGACATTTTCAGTACATGTACATGTATTGTAGATATCAGCTTTTGAGTCAGAGAATCAGCTTTTGAGTCAGAGAAGTTTTTTCATTGTACTGATGATTAATATAAATAATATTGGACAACTATTTTGACAGGAGGAACATATAAAGAAGGTAACCAAGGATTTCTGTGACTGGGTTGCAGAAAGCTTGGGAGGTGACCAGAATAAGTTTGAGGAGTCCACCATCATGAGTCTGTTTGCCAGTGGTTATGAGACAAAGCCTGCTCTGTCCGTCCCCATCCATGTTGTAGAACTGACTAATGTCCCCCAGGAGCTCCGACAGCAGGCCACCGTGTCTAACCAACAAACCAACAAAAACATTCCCGCTCCTGAAGAAAAGTCAACAAAATGGGTAAGAGAAGTGACTAAAATTTAACGTTTAAATATTGATGGAGCAGTTTTCACAACAATACTGAAATTATTTTTTTAGCATGTATATTTGGCAGAAATTAATTTTTCTACAAGTTGGTGTAAATGTGATTTAGCACACATCTAAATTTGCTAAATATAAAATTTTGTGCTCCTAACATTTAGCAATGTGCTAATTTTTACCAAAGGCAAGAAAAAGAACAATAATAAAATAAATTTGCAGTATTTTAGCAAATGACTTCACATGTATTAAGTTCAAAAGTCAAGTGTCATTTTGCAATTAACTAATCAAGTATTTTTAATTATATAGAAATACTCAGGCCAGTATGAGCCTAGCTGGGTAAAGTTTAAATATGGAGCTTGGTACCTGGACCCCAAATCATGGAGAAAAAGACAGGATGATGAACCATTAGAAAACCCCAAAGACATCAAAGATAAAGAGATGTCTGAAGCCAAGAAGAAGAGTAAAGAACTGGTAATATTTACTGTATTTCTATTCTGCTCTAATTTTTTGTTTGTAGTTTATTAAAATATTAAATATTATTTCAACAACTTCCCAGGGTGCTCTGATGGATTTTGAATGTGAGACAAATTGAATGAACACACAAAACCAGAGGTAAGCTACTAGCACAAAACTAATACAATACACTGTACAGAAATAGTCATTCTAAGACTGTTTAAAATGCTCTCTAGATTTCTTTGGGTTTTCCTTATTGTGCTTTTTAAATGCTGCTTTACTATTCAACTCTGGGTATGGAATCCATATCAGATGCTTTTCAAGAAATTACATACAATATATTTTCTTAAGGCCATAATTAAAATATTGTTGGTTTGGCATTGCCGACTCAGTTTTAAAGGTTTGGGTCGGTAGGTAGGGGAAATATTTTTTTTTTAATTCAGAAATGTTGTCAGTATTCGAGTGTCATGGGTTTCTGATTGTTTTACAACTGCTGTCCAAATTGATTCCCAATTGTTATTTATTTTCAAACCCTATTAGTTTTAACACTTTAATATACATGGTATAAAAAAGTCGCCGACATTGAATTGGCATCAAGTCATTTTTATGCACGAATCCAATCATGACTGCTAGATTCATCCAGCAAATCAGTGACAGTGAAGTTTCTATTTGAAACTGGTATAACTGATTCGATTCGTCAGTATATTTTTGCCATTTTAAAACACACATATACCGCGGAGAGTGCTAACTTCTGTGGTTTTCCGCTTTGTATGCCTGGATTTGGATGCTGCCATAGACGTTTATAAAAGAAAACTATCAATTAATGTTGGGTCCTTTCTTATTTTGTATATTACTCAAACGTACAGACACCCAAATCTGGATAAACATGACCCCCAAAAAATTACAAACATATATATTTTCTCAAGTTATGCGGCAATGCCAAACAAAGCTAATTTTATTTTTGGCCTAAATTATTCCTGTCAATGCAGTCTTAGTAATTCATCTCAAAAAATGTATCCCCATTTCATGTGTTTTAAGAGATCATTTATATTTTTGACAGTGGTTATCATGTGTAAAGAGTTATGCTAAACGATGAAACGTTACAGGTATTCTTCATGGTCTTTCAATTGCGGGTTGAGATTCTGGATTTGTTGAATGCATGTTTTTTGTTTGTATGAAATTTCATTTCTCTATTTCATTTACTGTATACAGGGAAATTTTTGCCCTTGTTTTATTTTCACCCCTTTTGCCCTTCCTTCATTTTGGGTGAATTTAAAATGGGACAGATTTAAAGAATACAGAATAATTTTTGAAACAAAACTATGACTGGGCAAATTTACAAGGGGTAAAATTGTTTGCATGTATTAAAGGGCAAAAATAAATGGGGCAAAATTAACACTGTATACAGTTTTTTCAGCATTTTAAATTCAATTTTCAGCATTTAAATTCAATTCTTATTTTATTTAATATATATAGGTACATAATGTACATCAGAAGGAACAAAAACAACATTTCCATATTGAATGAGATTTATAAAAATTGATGTCCTTATCTCTTCCATATTTTCACTAAAATATATAACTTGCAGCATATTTTTCCCCCTAGATTCCTACATTGTTGCAAGTCATGGGTTTTGTGTCCATTCTAATTCCACAAATAGGATAAACACAAAACCTTTGGCTTCCAATAATGGGAATTCTAAATCATAATGATTGTTCTTCATTTATTGACAATAAACAATTTTCTGTTCCAGTTTTTGGATGAGGTGGCTAAAATTCAGGAACAGGCTTTGATTGAGGAACAAAAAAGGCTTAAAGCAGAACAAGATGCCAAGCAGAGAAAACTGTACTCCAGGAGAAGGACTGAAACAGAGCAGTCTGCAGCTTAAGTGTGGTCATGTGACAGTGAGGTCAAAAGGTCAAGGATATGAAGGCTCCTTAAAACACCATATATTACTGTGATAAAAAAAATGAACACATGGACTTTTTTTGTAAAATGCATGTTAATTATGCATTTTTTAGTTATTTCCATTTCAGTTTTGTGATGAAACTGAATGAAATACACTAAGTTAATGAATATTGTTTATTTGTTATATGTAATATTGAAATAAAATCACCAGAAAGATTAGATATTGCCATTTGTCTATACAATTCAATAATTCGCTCTGCTTTGGGAAATACTGTAAAACCACATTTTTTCATGGGGTCAAATTTTCGTGGTTTGAGGGGAAAATGTCGGTTCGTTGGGATTCAATTTCATGGATAAAGAACTTTTTAGTAGTTGTGCCTATCAAAATTTACATTTTGTGATGGGCAGGGATTTGTGGGTCTGTTCAAACCTCGAAAACAACGAAAATTAACCCCCCATGAAATTAGTGATTTGTATGGGGACAGTTAACTTGCTTTAGTCCTCATAACCAGTAAATAGTTTTGTAATGAAGTGAAATCACTAAAATTTTCATTGTTTTTTTTTAGGTATTGAGAGACCCATGAATTTATACACATCATGAAATATAAATTGCTTAATAATGCATTAATACTTAACATTTTCCAACCATGAAATGAAATCCCCACAAACCAATATTTTTTTCCTCATAACCTTGAAAATTTAACTCCACGAAAATGTATGATTTTACAGTATATTTCTCTAAATAGATAGTTGTGCATATGATAAAAGTCTTGTAGTAGAAATAGGAAGTGTAGCAGAAAAATGGCACAATTGTGCCTGTGCACTATTTATAGAAGGTTTGGGTATAAAATTGAGTGTTATCTTCATCCACCTGTAACATTATTTTATAATCTTCTAAAAGATACAAATTATGAGAAGAACCAACACAAACCTCTGAAAATAGAGATCTGGGATCAGGAGCCATGAAGAAGTAAGCATCTCTGATTTGGTCACACCTGCTGTTAGCTGCTTGTATTTACAAAAATGATATAAACCATAGAATTTACGACATCCTAAAATGTACATGCATGTATTCACTTCCTTCAGCCAACAGACAGTTGGTATACCTGGACTCCCAAAACTAAATCAACTTGTTGGCATATAAATCCCATATGCAGGTGATTAGGATATATTGCGACAATATAGTTAAGAGAGTTGACGATAGAAAAAGTTATCACATTTATCATAAAATTGTTAGATTAGATTTCCATTAACGCCCTTTTCTAGTAAAATACACAAATATAAAACCTATCACATTGCAAGAGGATGGAAATACCATAAAACTTTGTAAACGAGAAAACACCTGTCGCGGCCCTCAACTCAACATTTAAATATATCTACGTCGTAATATAAAAATAATAATAGGAAACAGATGTTTTAGACCTTGTAATTTCATTGAATCGACATTCACATATATTGTCAATTGATAGGAATATAAATGCTGATTCAAACAAGAGACCCATGGGCCACATCGCTCACCTGAGTAACTTTGGCCATTCTGTTATTTAACAGATTTCCCCCTTTGTAATACCTATTGTGGCCCTGCCCAATCCAAAGGTGTCATGATTCAAATAGTTAGAATCTACACTACTCCAGGATGCTTCCACAGAAGTTTCAGTTCTTCTGGCACAGTATTTTTCGTAGAAGATTTTAATTTTTTCCTATATATTTCAATATTAAACTTGAATTCCTTATTGTGGGTGACATGGGTTGCTTACTCCTCCATGGCACTTAATCCCAACTCTGATGTTTAGAGATCTGTGTTTGTTCTACTCCCGATTTGTATTGTTTCAATAGGCTTTCAAGTTTGAATAATGGTCATGATCTCCCTATCTAATATGAAAACATGTACACTGTATATAATATCCAAGTTATATGGAGTTTACCCAGTTAATGCGATACGCAAGCAAGGACATGTTCTGCATGTGAACAATTTCTGAACGTAACAGGCCATTGATAAATAAGTTGAGAATGCAAACGTAAACAATCTGGAAAAAACGTCCATATTTAGAACAAATTTATGGCTAATAACACCATGTTTGTAAAAACAGTCTGTTGATAAATTAGATGTTAACATTTTTCATATTTTTAGACCTTTATTTACAAACTGAACGATCTTAATATTTCCATGTACCCAATTGAGACGAATAGCACATTACGAATGTGACCACAGGCGATTGACGATTTTAATCTTTCTTTTCTATCATCAATAAAAATGTCCATATATTACTGAGTATAATAATAACGTTATTGTTATAGTACGGGAAATTTTTATTTATATGAAAAGAAAGGTTAAAAATGTTAAGAGCCCGTGGATGTGACCGATCGAGAGGAGATGCTTATTTCTTCATGGCACCTGATCTCATCTATGTCTTCAGAAGTTCCTTTTGTTTAAATATACTTTGAAAAATGATCATTGTTTCTTATCCTCACATTTCATAGAATTATTGGGGTGATTCTTGGGTCATCTTAAAAAAAATTTTTTTTTTGCCCTCCTCCGATCGTCTGACTAAAAAATGCCCCGACTCAAAACTGTTTTTTACATCCCTATACACGAAATTTTTTATTTCTTTTTTATTCCTCTCATCCCGTCAACAAATATGTTGAAATTTTCTGGAAAAAATATATCCCCATCTACCCTTACCGACCCAATAATTTTACCCTGAGTCAGGAGAGGGCAACCAAACATTACCTGTATTTAAAAGATAGCCTTAACCTTCATGAATACGGATCTTTTACATGCAGTTTAATGACCCAGACTACTTTTACCCCGTTAGGCGTAAGAGGTCAGATACTATATGCGTATCGAATTATCATTGTTATTTTATGCAGTATTTTTATTACTTTCCACTTGATTTATTTCATGATCCTGTGCTAAATTCCTGGAGTATGTTTGCAAATCCTAAAGGAATATTTGTTCACAACATATGTGACTATCGAGAGAGTGTGAAAAAACGGCTGAGTGAGTTATTTGACATTTTCTCTAAACTGTCTGAATCATGGAGGCTGGAATTGAAAACTGGGTGGACATTTCTGTCATAGTTTTGTATTTCTTTCCGTCATTTTTGTGGGAATCTGGGTAAGACGTTAAATATTGTCCGTATTATTTAAGGAAAGGTTATACGACATAAATTAATTTCTCTATCCAATCAAATGACCTGTTACAACCAGAGTTAAATTATTTTTTTATACCATAAATTTTATCAGTCTTCTTCATAAATTCCTCCAGTCCATTTGGCGCAAAGAGCGATCGACTACTAATGGCTATTTTCTGGCAGGAAGGTCTATGTTATGGTTTCCAGTTAGTATATATATTTGATAATAGATAAATGCCTATCTAATATTAGTGACTGCTTTAATTTTATATATAAAAAAACATTTTATATTATTTACGACATGTTTGTTTTTTGTCTGTTATACGTTTAATAGTGATTAAAACTTCTTTTTCTGCATATTTGCTGCAAATATAAATTAGTTTACCAGTATTTTTAAAAGAAAAAATTGCTTAACTTTCACCGTTTTTTTATCAGCTGAATTTTAATTATTCATACCTTAAACAAGCATTACATGATCAAATAAGACAGTCTTTGTATGATAATCAATCTTCGATGATCTATGTTTTACAAAATTTTATTGGTATTACTCTCTAAAGATACATGTAAATATCTCCAAACACACGCTTTATAGATGGGTGCATCGTTGTTCTCAAGCAACATTGGTAGCGAGCATTTCATTGGCTTAGCCGGAAGTGGAGCAGCCAGTGGCATTGCTGTGGTGGCGTTCGAATGGGGAGTACGTGGTTTGGCTTTTTCTTTAAATGTTAAATGTTAAGTTAAACAGTAAGACTAATTAAGCTTTTGTAATGCAATAGATAATGATAACAAACACTTATCGATATTTTTTAAACAAGATGTGTTTGTGAGATACTGACCCCTCAGAATGGCAGCTTATGGCAAGGGTTAATATTTCTCAAATGCAAGTTATACTCCAAAATCAAGATCAAAAGGTCAAAATTGTTGGTAAACAACCACAGGCGACAACGAGTACTTTAAATATTAAATAGATTTAGGAGACGCTTATTACAGTATACACGCAGAAAGAACAATTGCATTTTTAAAAATTTTTTAAAAAGTTTTTGATAAATATATCCACTATTACAAAAAATATATATACGGTGTATATACATCCGAGTAACCGAGTAGCGATTTTAGTGTATGATACTCGGACGTTCGTTAAACGGTTACTCGTTGACATCCCTTATAAGTCATATGTACCATTTAACTTTATTCAATTAAAAAAAATCTGATTTACGTTTACTAATACTAAAAATTTAAATTGCATTTACTCATACTGAACCTGAGATTTTGCAATTGTCATTTTTGAATATCTTTTCCCGTTATTCCAGGCTGTACTCTGTCTCCTTCTTGGATGGGTTTTTTCTACCCGTTTATTTGACGTCCGGGGTGAGTAAAAGAAATCAAAATCAGAAAAAGAGAGATATTTCGCAAGAAATATGAGAAAAACAAGATTCTTAAAATAAATATGATCATGACTGTGAAAAAAACCCGAGGGCATTAAAACGACCAGACAATTACACCCGACGCTCTTAATGACGCCATTTGGTCAACTGCTAACTTTGAAATATATATGATACCGGTATACGTACATGAAATATATGGAGTTAACGAACATTATTATATAGTCTATTTATATTCCCTAATCTATACAAGCGCAAACAGTTCATGACAAAGGGCACACGGTGGGTGTGACCGGTAGTCAGGAATGCTCACTCCTGCATGGCACCTGATCGCACCTCTGATGTTTTGGAGGTCCGTGTTTGCTCTGCTCCTGTTTTGTACATGTATTGTTTTATGGACTTTTGATCTTAAATACCGTTCGTTATCTCCATATGTTATATTTAAAACGAACAAAGGAAAGATTTTTACGATGAAATTTGTACAGATATTGCATTGCTATTTCCAGGATTTTTGTTGTCATTTTGGTTGGGGTCAGTATTCTGTGGATACCTCTAATAAAGGCCGCCCAACAGGGACAACTCTTTCTCTACATACAGGCCCTGACTGGATACGTGGCACCTCCGATATGTTCCCTGTTTTTACTGGCCATCTTCGTTCCCAGGGTCAACGAACAGGTACATCCACTGGCTCATCTGATAGTTA